TCAAATTTTTTAGGAGTCTTCCTACAACTAAAATATTACAAAGATTTTTCCCATAGTGAATATTTGTTCCTTTAAGATAGATTTTGAAATAAGATAATGTACAATGTTTCGAACATTTGAGTACGTTTATGTGAAAACACAGGCGAGAAAATACGTGCTGTTTTAGGACCACTATTTTGAAATGTGTTCTAGTGAGACCTAACGATATTTGCAACTGCAATCTATTTTAAGAACCATAGAATGGGGATTTACATTCAAAAGCAGGAGTTGACATTATAACAAAGAAACAAAACACAACAGGCATTATACTTGCGAAAAATCACTTCAACAGTGATTTACTATTAATCAATTAACAGTCATGTTGCTCAGTAAGTAATCAATAGGATTGTTTTTTATACATCATTTGTCCTCATTGAATTCAATTTCAATATTATTAATAATTGTTTAACTGAAATATTTTTTGGAATAGTAAATTCTGTTAAAAAAAATATATTACTTTATGAAGTGAATGTTGCTCCCTTACTACTGCTATACAAATTTTGCAATAAATAAAATATTTAAATTAAAATAATGTATGGGATTTACAATGTCACAGTTATACACTTTCTGCTAAGAACTACCCTTCTTCGAGATCTTAACACGAAATTAACAAAATCAAGATCTGGTCTAATTCCAAGAAAATTCTTTACGAACAAAGTAAAATCTATGGAACCAGCTGGGAAATTACCCTAGGACATTATCTTTAAGCAAACAATACAAGAATCCAAAACCAAGTATGATGATTATAGACTCACTCCTGTGAACTTCAGCAAATGACGCCTTTTTCCTTTTATAATATGAGAGGGCAGGTCCTTCACTACATAATTCCACCTTGTTATACATTCTCAACATCACAGTAATAGTATAGTAAATGAAGTCCAGTATTAATAGTAACAAACATCTATGCAGAATTTACAATACTTTTAAAAATGTACTTTCTACAATAAACATTTTCTTAATGTCTGTCATTCAATTCTGTTACAACATATATTTTGTTTGGGCCTTCAATTTTTGAGGGACATTAAATTATAAAAAATGTTCACAAGATTTAAATGATGTATTTAACTTTTTTAACACTTCATTTCTTCTTGAGCTTCAATTTTGACTGACAGGTTTAAGAATAGAATTATTTTTCAAACATTCAATTATAAAAAAGATGCAGCGTTTCAGGTGATACTTTTACCCATATTTAGGCTAAAAACAATAATCACTTTCTAATAGAACATAAGTAATTTTATTATTGAATATCTATCGTTATTCTCAATACAAGTTTTTAAGCAATTTTGAGACATTTTGCCGAGTTTCTGTAACATTTGTATTGAGTATTGTGGTAGATGATTCAAAAAACAAATAATTGTATTGTAAAACAAATTTGATTATAGTTTCTTGCCTGAAGATAAGTTAAATCGCTACCCGAAATGGCGCATCAATTTTATAGTTTAATGTTTTAAATATAATTGTAATGATGAACCTGTCAGTTAAAATTGAAACCCAAGAAGAAATGTGTTAAAAAAAGTTAAAAACATCATCTTGTGAATAAATAAGTTTTTTAATTGAATGTCTGTCAAAATTGAAGCCAAGAAGAAATAAATCTTATTAAAATATTTATATCCAGAACATCCATAACTGTATTAAAATAACACGTTACCTTTTTATAATCACATCTTGGCAACACTTTGTGCTACATAACCTCATTCTCTGGTTAACATTTCACCATCATGTCCCACGATTTTCCAGGAAGACTAACAATTTGTTTATTCTAAGATATTTTTCTAAAAATTTCAATAACGTGACTGTCAGGCTTGTATATACCATTGTAAACATTCCTCAAAACATCACATATAAACATAGAGTAGAGTTGTATCTCTCCTCTATGCATGTAAATCAGTTTTAATGAGCTTCCATTTTTATATTTTTGTATGGAAATTCTGCAAACCTGGCAATAATTTAGTATTACAAAATATTCATTTGTATTCTTTGATTATACAATTTAACTCTTGGGCTACTTTATTATTTTTTAAATTGATGTTCATACTTTTTTGGTTATTTAAACTTTACAATATTGATTAAGTATGATTTTACAAATTACATTATTTTAGAATTAACTGACAGTGTAAGATGAATGATTATTATATATAGTGCTTACCACATTCTGCATAACAATATTGTTTTCGTTGTTGAAAAGCTTGTCGCTCATATAATCATAATTTTCTCCTCTTCTGGGGAACAATTTCAACATCTTTCTTTTTAATATATTTTCACTTCGATACGGAAAACAAAGTATTCGATGTAATTTACAGCTATCTCTGCTACTATCATATGGTTAAACGATGAATTTTCGACACAATTTGGAAACTACTAAAATTATTCACACTCTGAAATAACGTTTTCACCGATGCGAAAAGACAAGACATCAACTACTCAACGCCCTGTCGGACGCCATCTTGCCCACGATATTACCCGTTGTTTGCAGCGCTTATATGTAAGAAATCTTAGAACTAGCTCCAAAACGTTTGTTTTATACATAGAGTAGAGATATATGCTGTATCTCTCCTCTATGGTTTTATACTGCGAGATAACCAAAGAGTACTACACAATACATAGATCAAGGAGTATTCATAGAGGAGAGATACAATATATCTCTACTCAATGGGAGTACTAGACGGACTCGATGTATAGTACTCTTTGACGTAGAATCACCCAAAGAGGTTTCTTTTGAAGCCAGTAAATTGGCGCGGCGGCCATACCAATCCAACGCGTCTCTGCTGTTAAAGCGTGCGATGAAATAGACAATTTTAATTAATTTATATTAATAATATAATAAATAATTCATTTATATATTTAAAGTAGATTATCGGTTGATGGAATTATTGTCCATTAAAGGGTATAACTTTTAGTAGACCATATAACCACACGTAAATAAACCAGAGGATTGACTATACCATCAAACGAGGTAACAAAAATATGTTTATTCTCTGAAAAAAAAAACTTTCAGCAATTTGGTGACAGAGCAAACAATATCGTGTCAATTTGTCAAGAACTTTGAGTCCTTACCCGTATTTGAAAGCTGTTTTACCAAAAATTTGTTTTAAATCGTTTTCCATTACTTCGAGGAACTAGAATACAACACTTTTATGACGTACGAATTGCTGCAAAATATTTAACAATTAGACTTTATCGCCACAGAAAAACTGTCAACAATAATGTTAACCACTAAAAACTGAAGCATCATTATGCAAAACTCATTATATTTTGTGGTCAATGGGCAATGGTGATATATGTTCACTAATTTAAATGATCGTGTTTTATAAATATGTGTTCATATATACTAATATTGTGTTTGGGTATAAATGTGGTACAACCGTAATATTATATACAGAGATTAATACTTGCAGAGGTATGTATTTTAAATATTTATTTTTTATGACTTGCATATTATTTAGATTACCTTAAAATTTATATCATTCAACATTATTAAATCAATAAAATCTTTACTTAATAATTAAACAAGAATACTCTTCTTTTTTAAGAAGATTTTTGTCTTCAGAGTACCAAACGGTATTTTATAGAGTTTTTTTTATCTGGTTCTCAAATATGTATTAGGGATTTCTCCACGTGTCGGAAAAAGTTTGAGGATTGCTGGCCGATTATTAATGGAAAATTTAGAGCTTCACAGGCGAAATATAGCAGAAAATGGTAATTTTTTACTTTCTTGGTGAGACAGAATGTTAAAATATTGTGTAGGTAAGAACGTAGAAAGTAGTAAAATGTTTGAAATTATAAATGTCTATTTCAGAAACTTTGCGTGATGGTGAAAACCGATATCCAATTTGAATTCAGGAGAAAAAATACTACAAGAATCACACATTTTTCTTTCCGAGATAAAAAAATAAACTTTTTTGTTTCTAAGTGTAATCAATAAGAATCAATATTTTTCGTAAAAAAACGACTTTGTTGACGAAAAATATTCTTGTTGATTGTCACAAACAAAAGGATAGTTGCGTTTAATTTTTAGTGACAATCATAATCATCTCATAATTTTATCTGTTTAAATACTGTGGTCTGTATCCGTTTGAGTACCAAGATTCCCACTACCTGGTCGTCTCTCTGTAATAGTTTCAATGCACCATTTATAAGAAGACAACATATATTTATTCAAACGCAGCTTCACCGATAGATATCAATATAAACACGTATATTATTTTATTAATTGTATACACCTGATGGCGAATGCAAGTGACACGCGAAACTTCATGTATTACAAATATAGACTTCTTTTGACGAAAAACATTCTTATTGATTGTCAAATACAGGAGCATACGTGTGTTTAATTATTAACATTGTAGTGACAATTATATTAATATCATATTTTTATCTGTTTAAAAATCTACAATTGTTTCAAATAACTTAAAATAATTAAAATTTCAATGTATGTGCAGATGCAAATCAATATGCATACGCAATTGCGTATCCATTCGTTTGTCAAACAATTAATATTTATCTAAATCAAATGGAATAACAAAATGCAACGGTGAAAATACCTTTTTCGCAAAATTAGGACTTATCTGTGTATTTCTGGCTCCTGAGTTCGAAAATGAGACTCTGAACATCATGTCACTCACAGTTTTGTCACAAATCATACAACTTGCAAATGTTGATATCACATATTTAAGTAATACATATAATGGTTCACAAATCGTGCTGAATTATAATATAAGTAGAAAACAAAAACATATTGAGATATGCACACAGTGAAAATATGGATGTGGTAAAAACCTGCACTAACCTCATTCATTCCGTGCTTTCTTATTTGACATGTCGTGATCCCTACTTTTCCTCTTAAGCGTTATTTAAGGGTGTTGACGGTAAAGCATCCAGCAGTAGTCGTCCCACGTGCACTGGTACTTTCGTTCCATGTCCTTGATATCTTGATGGAAACTTTCGCCCTGTTCCTAACTTACGTCCGTCGCTTGCACGATATTTGTCATCACTGTCGTCCGTATCTAATGTCTGCAGAGGCTGTGATATAGGTGAATCTGGGCCATGTAAAACACGAAGAATAGCCGAGCGAATGTTGTTCGGATACTAAATAGTTTTCTTATGAAACCAGTAACCTTATAAGTACCAGGGCAGAAGTAGCAGATGTGGCATGATTCTGTTCCTCCTTCCAGACCAAAGAGATACCAAATTGTATTGACTTCTTCTTTCCTGTCGACCTCCCTCGTAAATCTACACACACAATACACACGACCTGTCTTTTCTGAAGTCACCGAGTTTCACTCCGAAACAGATATGGTAGACCTTCTTCACGAAAGCACAAATGTTTCTTCATTGTTTTTTTGTCACAAATATTACAAAGCTAGTTTACACAGCCTCGGATATCCATTGCTCGCTACCATTACGTCCTTTCACAAACACAACGTAGCGACGAACAGGCAGCGCCATTTGCAATGAGACAGTTCGCTATTTGCCGCTAGGGACGCAGGTATTCAACAGTTGAAAGCGATGTGCCGTTTCTGAGCTTTATGTGGTGTTTTCGTTTATATTATATCACCATTACATTACATTTGCATTAATTTTAAATGTATGTACGTTTTTCCAAAACTGTGGGTGAAACGATGTTTTGAGTTTTGCGAAATCCAGAGGTCGAAAGATATAATGAACATGTTCGCAAAAGGTTTTTGTAACATGATAATTTGTTGCATTGTGAATGAAAGAAATCAAGCATTCATTGAGATTAAGAATATTCTCACGTAGAGCGTCAACAAATATTTGATATATTTTTTGTCCGATTTCCATTTTTGTAAAGTAAGACAAATACTTCAACATATCTTCAAAACACAAGAGAAAGGGCTTCGGCTCTTCCCCTCTTTCACTATTGTTCAATGTGGAGAGCAATTCTATTTCATTCACAGAAAATTATTATATATCTTATTTCTCTCTGTGAGAATATCCTGTCTAGGGATCTGAACGTTTTGTGCTAACTTCAATATTGTCTCCACAATGGTTGAATTTTCATGGTTCATAAAAATGAACTGCAGACGAATATCATGCGCCAATAGTGGATAGTTCAATTACAAAGTTTGAAAAATGAGAATTGAAAACTATCCACTTTCTGCTAACGTGCTGATCGTGGAGCTTATGTCTTCTAGTCGTGAGGTTTGGAACGATGATTATATATTGCCTTTCTTACTTTGTATTTTTTTAATGTGAAAATATCTTATTATTGCTGGTATTGCAATAATTTAACATACTGGATATTTTTTTGGTCTCAGACACGATATGGGGTGAGAGATCAATTGTCCAATAGTATCAATTGGCCAATCGATTGGCCTGAGTCGAGTATGTAACGACTACCAGAATTTTGCTAGGCCAGTGCTGGAACAAAATCAAGGTTTTGAAATAAATTAAAAGAACCTGAAAAGAATGTCAATGAATCACAAAAATATTTCTCTCCAAGCCCTCTCTCTTTACGTGTGAGACCAGGGTTGCACTATTGTCACACTAATCACACAGAAAGTTCTATTGGAAGTAAGTAGGGTCATGAAGGACATGTGACAGAAAGCTTCGACTTGTAAGAGTAGGAATGCCAACCAGCCCCATGTGCTAACCATCCCCGACTTCCAATCTCGTTTAACAAGGAATCAAAGGGTAGATGATGCATATTTTGAATTGTAAAAAGTACTCTCTAGCTCATAAATTGATATGAATAGGATCCCCGGATGCTAACGACTCTGAGCCCCTGGCTGACTTGTAACGTTGTTAAGCAAGCGTTTATTTTGTACTTATTAATGCCTTTTTGTAGAGTTCCCTTAGATTAGAGCACGGGTTATCAGAAATCTTCGAAGTTGGTTGGGTTCCAATTTGAATCTATATTTATTTTCGAAAAATTAATTTAAAACGTGTGATATTATTGAAATAGCAATTATTTCGCGGGAGGAGGGAAGGGAGTCTTTTGGACCATTTTAAAACATTTTTCTCTCTTCTGGGTACTCGAGTTATTAAGAATTTTTCGTTTCATCCGCTAGGGAAGACACTAGGCACTGTTCTAAACAATGCTGTAATATTTAGACATATTTTACGTAATAAAAAAGCACTTACAATAAATTTCTAAATTTGCAGTTTAATATCGAGTTTATCATGCGGAGAAACATGCGTTAACCATGTGGCAAGCCTACAAAGAATCATAAAATAATCAAGAAGATGTTCAGTGTGAGAAGTATATACTAGCATTGAAATAATTATTTTTTAGTTTCCTGCTTTCATTGAGGTGGGTTCGTGGGATCTGTAAGGCATGAATAACAAAACATTTTTTATCGCATTCTTTGCATATCATTACGTCCAGTATTATTTTGTTTGGTTGAAAAAGTATTAAATTACCATCAAATTATCTTTCTTAGTAGAACAACTGGTGACGTCTCTCTGGAACTCATCACACTTAGTGCATTAGTACACACCAACAATGCGAGGTAAACTTTGAATGATATAACACGGTATGCCATAGATTGATGTTAAGGTAACAAAATTTGTAGGTCTTTCAATTCAGTCTTAACTTAACTGGAACTTCCATATCAATGATTTGAACACTAAATTAAATTATTTTTGCTAAACTTTCAGACTTCTTTCAAATTCAGTCAGCCCTCATACTGCTCGTTGTGTATATTTCGCGAATGTTCATACCCACCTGAAATATGGCATAATATTCTGGGGAAATACATCTTATAGCTCCCAGACTTTAAGATTACAAAAAAGAATTACGAATAATAAGCAAATCCCACCCATGTTATCCTTGTAAGCCTCTCTTTATTAATCTAGGTATCATACCTTGGCTCTTAATATATGAATCAGTGGTGTTTGTCAAAAATGACAAACGGCAGGAATATATTTTCAGCAAACGCCGATGTCTATAACAACAACACTCGACGTAATAATCATATTTATCAGGAGACAAAGTCAACAGCCCTCTACAAACAATTCGCATACAATACATGTACATCATTTTGCAACACGTTGCCAGATGCCATTAAGCGATTAAATTCGATACAAAAGTTTAAATCTCAAGTAAATTTTTTCTACTGCACAACTGTTTCTCCACAATTAAAGATTACACCGAGCTTCCAAAAGGAAAGTAATATTAATTTTATCAATAATATTTAATGTACTATTTACCATTTGGATTTTATAAATCTAAAGAACTGGCAAGAACAAGAAAACGGGCATTTTTCTCCTGGCCTTATATAGGCCCTTTTGGCTCTACCCGCCGCCCCCATTGCCTCCTCCCCAAAGCCGCTCTGGGCCCGCTACGTCCACGGAATGTCCCAGTGCCTCATCACTCCGCCCTTTGTTTAACATCCGGCGATGCTCGTCTATTTCCACGTGGTTGTCTGTTTTGAGCGTGGCACGACGCTACAATACACTCTCGGCGTTGCTGAAAAAGTGGCTGGGAATCACGATCGAGATAATGTTCTGGTACCAAACAGTAGTTACATTATCAAAAATATCAATCAATTTAGAAACGAATCACCAATACTCGATACAAATAACGAACATAAAACTATTCTTAAAACATTAAAAAAAGAGTACAAAAAAGACAAGAATTAAAATTTTAATATGTATCACGTCATCACGTCTTCGTTTGTCTTTAAGCTTGAATTAATCCTTAACGAAACAAAGATGCAGACTATATGTACTGGCGTATATACTAATGTAATATAGATGTTTCATGTTCTTTTTTTCGCAATAATTTTTTTCGCAAAAATCGCAATAATTAATGCAAAAGATCGCATAAATTACAATATTTTTTTCTCCCTATTCTCTTCCTTTCCTCCCTCCTCCTTCTCCCCTTATTCTCCTCCTACGTTTTCTCCTTTCTCCACCTCCTCCTCCTGCTCCTGCTCCTCCTCCTCCTCCTCCTCCTGCAAAATGTATGTGGCATGGCAATTGCAAAGTTCACTGCTACACGAAACCAAAGAACGAATGTCAAGCGGGTTGCCTAATTCACAGTTGACTAACGACACCGCCTCGCGATGTTCTACCTAATATAACTAATGGATTTCCTGTGATGTGCTCCTGACGCTGACATTTGGTTGGATGTCTCCGTCGTCGGGTATTGTACTTCTTTGATGGGTGTTTTGTGAATGAATGTGGTAAAAATGGAGTAAATATTCTATAGAAACTACACCCAGATATAGAAGAAAAACATCCATGTATGTACTTGAAAAATATTCACATACTACCCCATAATGTTCAATCTCTTTATCGACGCTGCTCTGTAGAGCGATTTATAGCAAAAATATGTTCTTTGCATTACAGCACATTGGTTTATCTCGTAATAAACTTAGAATTTTCCAATTTCCCAACTTTAATCTTTCAGTTTATTATTGTAGAGCAAGTAAATAAAATAAGGGTGCTGCGCATGGAAGTTATTGTATTCACGATAGAAATTATACCGATTCTATCTCCTTGACTGAATTATTTGTGTATTCACGTGAACGTATAATTGAATATCTATTGTACATCTTCCTATACTCAAAATTATCTTGAATTTCATCTCCAGGTCTCTGAAAAAACGTGGTATACATTACTGCACGTTCTTAGAAAATCTGGAGTTAATTCTAAGCTAAGGCAGAAATACCTTTTTTGATTCCATTGTTTTATTATTATAATCGTGCGCCGGAAACGCGATTTTTCCTCAGAAAAAATCTAATTGCCAGGCTCTAGGTATTGAATAAGTGGTAAAATCTTGTTCTTTTATTTAGATAAATTTCTTCCTCTAAGTCCTGTAGTAAATTCTAACTCAGAATCCGTGTTTTGGGGGTCACCTATACCAAAAAATTGATTGACGACAAAACGTCTGTCTAGTTGTGTTTCCGTCTTAGTCAAAGCTTGCACCGGATACTTTCAGGTGATTTTTTTCAAAATAGATACTTCCCGGTCAATTTAAATGAACTGAAGGCTCTCTGAGTTTAAAACGGATATTTTGATTTTGGGGGTACTTCACATGAAGCCTCATCAATATTTTCAAAATTTTGACGGTGCTTTAACGGCAATTATGCGAATCGTGCAGGTCTCACTGTCGTCAAAATCCCTGATTTTTCGAAAATCGCAAAAATTCAAATTTTATGTTGTCTTTTTGCAAATTCTTTAATAAAGATAATTTTTCGTAATGAAACATATTCTTTAGAGGCAGATCTTGAAATAAGAACGTGTTAAAGTTTTTCGAAAGTATGTGTAGTTTTCTCGTAATTTTGCGTAAAATATAGGCAATTTTTATTTTTTTAAACATTTTTTTTAACAATAACGGATCTAATTTTTTCTTTAAATTTTCTCCTCGCATTTATAAACGGGTGGTGGTGCTAGTATGGTGCTGTTGTCACCATGATGCAATTTGGCGGGTCGGCTGCGCAGGGTGGAAGGCGGCAGGGTTTTTTCCACTATTGTCTCTCTTCGACAACCCACGCAATTGTCAGCTGAGTTGCGAGAAGCTAACAAAAGAAATCGCTTTGAGACAACGATTTACTTTTTCGCTGAACTACATGGTACTTTATGAAAATGATCATAAAATGTTAAAGAAAAAAATTATCGAAAACGTGGAAGAAAAGTCATTTTTTATAGTTTACATTATTTGATAACTGCCTTTGTCACTTGAGTACTCTGAATTTGTAAGTCAGGAGACTGATGATACCAAGTTTACAGCGTTCTCTTTGAGCTGCTGCGCAAACGGTTATGGGTCCATTCACTCTGCTTATCTCCTTTGGTGCCACCTTGTCTCTCAAATTCCGCCTGATTCAGGTTCAATGGGGATTCATGTCCTTGACAAATATTGCTTCATACACAATCGTCGTTTTCGAAGGAAATATTTTCTAAGACTGTTTACTTGATTCTCGCACAAGGTCTCAAAGTCTAGAAAACCTCTACCACCTTCGTTCCCAGGGAAGTATAGACTTATCATTGAACTGCTAGGATGGTGCGGTTATTGGTAAGAGTGATGCTAACTTATCGATTAAGCTCCTGGAGTGCTGTTGTTGTCCAGTGAATATATATATATATA